GTTGTGAAGTTTTTTTTTTTTGTCTTGTACAGATGTGCTAGCAGGGGGCATTGTGTACTAATCACTAAACATACAAACCATAATGGTTTGCCTGTAGTGCTTAATGCCAAACACCATGCATATTTGCAGTGGTATATAGGACATATTGGATACCTCTAAAGTCTAAAGCTTGTGTATTTGTTTAGAAAAGATGAAAGATTTCTTCATTATCATTCACTTATTGCAACAATACAGTGTGAAATGTACACTTTTCCAGACAATTTAGTATTATTTTACATGCTTATAAGTTTGTTTACAATAATTTTGGAGCTTTAAGTGTTGCACCTATAATTACATAGTTACTCATAGTTTGTAACCAAGGTAAATGAATAATAGTTTTTTATTAGGCAAGTATGTACATAGCCAAAGTAAAAACCTAGTATTTTGAATATTTCCCAAGTAGCCTAAGTTTAAAGTAAAACGTCATAAAAATTAGAATAACATCAATTTGTTTTGTTAAATAAGACTTGATAGTCATAACTTTATCTTGCAAATTAGGGAATGAATAAAGATACTTGGAAAATTTTTTGTGTTGTATAATATAAAAAAATTTGTAATTTAAACCAGTACTTTAAGTATCTCTTGTTATTGCTCATAGATAATCAATTCATTTGCTCAGCTCTAACTAGAAGAAAATATATTTGTAAAAAAAAAAACTTCTGCCACAGTTACCAGCCTGATTTTTTTAACTTTCAAAAAAGGCTGCTTTATCATTTTAAACTTAATTTGAACTGCTATAGTGCAGTAAGATAGGAAATTCAATGGTTTTATGGAACAAGATCAGGTTAAGAAATGTTAGACTTAGATCATTTTGCACTCAACCATATCAAGATTCATTTTGCCAACAAGATTAAGTAATTGCTTGAATGGGCAAAGATGATTGCCATAAAGAAATATGTACAAATGAATATAAAATAGGTTTGAAACTTGTTAAATATATTAAATGTAATCTTCCAATTAACAATATAAAAAAAAAAGTTGGCTGTTGATAATTCTGGTCTCATAAAAAGCTATTTTTGTTATACTGCATGCTTTTATTGTTGTTGTTTTCAAATTAAAGCAAAGACAAAATTTAATTTTATGAAATAAAATATTTATTGGAAAGTTTTACGAGGATATAAAAAGACAAAATCAGGTATTGAAATCTACAACAGTGGTGAGAATTTTTAATTATTTCTTTAAAAAAACATTCACAAAAGCATTTTTTTTGAAATTCCAAAGCTTATAATTTATACAAGTATAACTTATGAAAATATGATTTAATTTTTTTTTTTACAGCAATTGTCAATTAGTAATCCCTAAATTCATCTTAAGTTTCAAAATTTTGTCAATACAATAAAACAATGCACCCAGGCATTTTAAGGTTAATGTTAACAACTGTTGCAGTAATCAAATGATTGTTTTTCTAAACTACAGTTATAAGTTCTAGTAATTTAGTATTTTTAAAATGTTTTGTCTCATTTGAATTGTTTGTGATTACATTTCAGGGGTCTCATTTCGATGCAGAAGAAGATGATTATCAAGATATTGAAGAAGCTCTTTTTCACATTGAAGATCGGGATGATAGTTTGTTTTTTCAACTTGAAGAGGTGTTTCCTTCATCTGGTAAATAATGTTTTCTGTTAATACTCCAGGGGGTGTAAGGTGTTATACGATGTTTTGTATAAATGTTGAAGTTCTTCTGTGGTTTAAAGGGAATGACAAATAAATATATCTTCATACATATTCCTGTTTATTTTATAAGTAGACTCCAATTTCCTTTTTCTTTTTAACAAAGTATAGAATAAGTTAAATAACCTTTATAACTTATTTCTCCTCGAAATTTTCATTAACGTTTTCACATCTAAACAATACCTGTGTTTTTTAGTGAGAGTTTTTCCCAGTTTATTCAATATGAGAAACTTCAGCCATCCAACATCTTTACATAGTTGTACTGGAACAAAGCACTTTGAACAAAAGCATGAGAAGTACAAGATTGTGCTTTTCAAATGCTGGATTTCTGGCATTTTTCTTGCATGTAATTTTGGTATAGAAAAGATTAAATGTAATGCAAAGACACTGCTGCTATAATCTCTTATGGAAGGTCCTGACTCTTCAGCTTTTAACTTGTGTACATTGGCTATTGTATAATTTTTTCTTACATTTTATTTCATAAATTACTATTATACCTATTTCCACATAATTTGTATTTCAAGCAACTATAAAAGTATGTGTAAAATATAACATTTTCAGAATATCATGCAAGTATTTTTGCTTCTTTGATTCATTCAAAATATAAGTAAGAAACTGATATTTAAAACAATAAGTAACTTGATTTGGATTATTTTATCCTCGAAACCGTACCTCCAAAAACAATGGATCCTGAGAAGGTATATAATTCAGGTGAGCTTCTTCATCATCATAAACAAAGGGTCATTTTAAATATGTAAAGACAAATGCAAGTAGTAGTACAACAAATAGTATTAAAACATTTAATTCTCATGCATAACCAAGCACTACCTGATGTTTCTTTTAATGTCAATGTTACCAAAACATGTAGTCAAAATTGATGGTATCCGTACTTTCCAGCTCCCAATGGTGTCTGATGATACCACCAGTGGTGCTGAAACAAGTGGTATGTGTCTGCTTTGTAATTTGTTTTTCATTTCATCTGTAGAAATGGATAATCTTATGCCTCAATTTCTGAACACTTTTTTTCCAATCATGGACAGGCTGCAGGATCATAAACCTTCTCAATAATTCACATGGAAACATGAGATCAGATTGTTGTAAAAAAGACATTCAGCAATGAGCAATAAACTTTAATAGTAATGCAGTTAAAACTGTATAATAACAAGCCATTTGGACTATGGAAGTGTCCCTGTAGCGCAGTGGATAGCGCGTTGGATTTCTAATCCAAAGGTACCGGGCTCGTTCCCCGGCAGGGATGCCACCACCTTTGCCTGGTTCCAAGTCCAGGATGAGAAAGGAGGAGGGTTGGGTGCGGGGCTAGCAACTCCGCCCCGTAAAAACCAACCTGCTAAAAATTACTGACAACAACAAC